GTCCCGCCCTCACGCTCCGGTGGCTCTGGCACACTGGCTGGCGCTCCGCACAGTTCTCGGCTCATAGGGCTGGGCCGGGCCACGTGGCCGCAGCCTTCCCTCTACCTTGGCCGACGCCGGCGGCGCTACAACCCTCCGCGAAACTTTCCCCGGTCTCTCAGGTGTGCGCTTATCCGGGGCCTACAGCTGGCCCGGCTCTCGTGGTCCAGCAGGGGGCGAGAGCAGAGCTGGGTGGTGTGGCCGCCGGGAAAGGGGAGGTTCAGGCGCCGGGAAGGGCGGGCCTGCAGGCGGACCTGAGGCCAGGAGTCTTTGCTTAAATGCAGTGGGAAGCCCACGAAGGGGCTACAGGATGAGAAAGGATCGGGAGAGGACAAGAAAGGAGACTGATGCAGTTGTCCAGGCAGGGAGTGATGGCAGCCTGGACCGGGACACGAACAGCAGGGAGGGAGAAGTGGAGACAAAAGGTGAGCCATTTAGAATGTTGAACCGACAGGACTTTACGTGGGCCCAGACGGATGTCTGAAATCCTAGGATGACCTAGCATGAAAATCTGGCCTGGACCTGTCTTTCCCGCTTTTCTTTGCCAGCTGCTCCTACAGCAACCATCCAGGGATCTTGCAGCTTCCCAGGGAGATTCACTCTCAAATCGAAGAGCCTGAGCTCTTTGCCCGGACTGCCCTGCCTGCACTAAATTTTAAAGCTCAGCTCAGAAGTCACACTTGACCCTCTTAGATACTTCCCCTGCTACCCAAACACTCCCAAAGCCCTCTCCACACTCACCTAGCACTTACACATTGAATGGTGGTTTGTTCCTATTCGTTTTCTTTCTAATTCAAGTCTAAATGCCCAACACCAGACTCGGTACCTAGCACGGAAAGGCAACGTGAGGCTTCCAGAATTAGTGAATACTTTTCAAAAGGGTGTGACTGCCGGTCATTTACTCTGGAAATGTATTACCTGTGGCGGGGGGGGGGGGGGGGGGGGGGGGGGGGCGTTTGATGCAATGACCTAAAAGGAACTAGAGAGCTGTCCAGTAAACTCATCTGACATTCCCATCAACTTCTTCCACAATCCATTCTACCCTAGGCTTAAGACAAATGCTAACGTTTTATTAATGCCAAGACCTAAAGCATGTTAAGACAATAAGATATAAAAACTTGTTATATACCAAGTAATCTGCCTATTTTTTAAATACATAAAATATACCAAAGTGTTAAACTATCATTGGTCGACAGATGTTGGGTGCTTTTCATCTTTTAAATATGTATCTTCTATAATCAGCGTGTTACTTGCACAAGAAGGCGGGACAGCAGGTGGTACGAATTTAAGAAAGCAGAGCATGTCACACCATTAGACTGAAAACCAAATCCATTCTTATCATTTTTTAATGTATTTTTAAAAAATCTTTTAAAAAATAACTAGAACTAGTCAGCATATAGCTTCTTGTTATATGCTCTGAATGAGATAGAACGTAATGCTTTTCCCACATCCATTCCACCTTAGATAATCTGGGACAATAACTCTTCGTTATTCAGATCCTTGGCTAAAATATAAATAAAAATGGATTAATGAATGTTTTTATATTCTAAGGAAATTTATTTTTAAGTTGTATGTATTATAAACAATATATAAATGGGCAGTGCTATGCAAAATGAGGTCAGCTGATAAAAATGACAATTCATAACAGGTCTGCATCATACATAACTACAGAAACCTTTAAACACAAAATCTAATTACTAGAAGTTGAAGGCATATTGAAGGAATCCTTCATAACACGAGGCCTAGGTTTCAAAAAACTACCAATCCTAGAATGGATTCTACTCTGGAACTCTTTTTTTATTATTTCTTGTTGCATCTCTTTCAGTGTGAAATGGAACCTCTGAAACTCAGGTGTGGCATCAACAAAGTCAAGTAGGTAGTCCAAACTCTCTCTGACAGCAGGTAACTTAAATTCAGCAGTCTGCTCTTCAGCTCCTCCTCCTTTCTGAACAACTTCCTTTGTAATTCCACTTTTTGTTTTTGCGGGGCTACCCTTTTCTTCATCATCCCTGTTGAACCACACTCTATCATCAGTCAGTGTGGTTTCCAACTCCCCACATTTCTCCAGGATTTCTCTATAATCTCCATCTTGTAAGCCTTGAAGATCATATTCAGGTTCCTTTTTGTAAAGAAGATTTTCCCATGCATTTGCTATAGTTATTTGTTTCACTTCATCCCAACTCTTTGCCCAGTTAAAAATTGCACTTTTTATGTTGTAGATTTTAATCTTGGAAACTCCTTTTTCTCCTTTATCTTGCTCATCATCACTTTCTTCAAAAATTACAAGACTCTCTTCAAGTTGCTTCCACCTATAAAGTCGTTTGCAGCTCAAAATCACACCTTGCTTCATTGGCTGAATCAAGGTTGAAGTGTTATGGGGAAAGAACATGCATTTTATTCGACCATCCTCACTGGTTAGTGATTCGGTGGGAGAGTGAACTGGAGAACTGTCCAGAAGTAACAAGGCCCTGACATCCTCTTCATGGAATCCTAATACATTAAGTTGAAAATGCCTGACCTCGGGAACAAAGTTTTGAAAGAACCATTCTGAAAACAATTCCCTGGTGAACGAAACATCTTTACTAGGCTTATATATCACAGGTAATGTATTTGTGTCCTCTTTCACACTTTGGGGCAGCTTTGATTTTCCAATAATGATTGACTTTAACTTATGAGTTCCATCTGCATTTGCACATAAAAGAGCAGACAACCGTTCTTTGTTTATTTTCCTCCCAGGCAGGCAGATCTCTTTTCTGCTTGCCTGAATGTTTTCTGCCATTGACTTCCAAAAGAGGTCAGTCTCATCCCCACTGTACAGCTGAGCTAGACTCAGTTTCTCCTCTTTGATAAGCATGTAGAGTTTTCGTCGAAATGGTTCAACATTTTCTGAAGCTGAACTTAGGACTTGTTCCCCACAAACTTTTCGATTCCCAATTGCGTGCCTATTTCGAAATCTAAAAAGCCAACCAGTGCTAGCTTTAAAGTCTGTTCGCCCAAAACACTGTGCGAATCTCTCTGCAGCAGCCTGAAGCTCCACACCTCTAACAGGGACGCCAGCTGAGCGTTTCTGCTGGTACCACATGTAGACTGCATCATCCACATCACCATATTTGGCTCCTGTTGTCCTCTTTCTCTTCTCAGCCCCTGCTAACGGCATGTCCTGCTTCAGTACAAAGTCCAAAATCAATTTCTTATTCTTTTTAATGTCATAAAATGTTGACTTACTGATTCCAAATTCATCCATTACACTTTTAAGAGATCGTCCGGATTCAATCCTACTGAGAACCTTCATTTTCTCCTCCAAATTCAATGTTGTGTATTTCCCTCTTTTATTCATAGTGAAGGTGGTTTCAAACAACCAACAGGAGAGAAAGAAGGAAGAGCCTTACTGAATTGGAAAAAATTAAAAGCAAAACAAAAAACTAGCTTAAAGCCCCAAAAGGCACAGGCATTTGTACAGAAGGGTATTGGGCTAAAAGGGATAAAGGCTCATGACTGCAGTGCTAGCCTACAGATGAAGGTCTTAAGAACTCAGAAAGCCACCACTATCAAAGCCCTATCTAGCTGTTGCTCCTGCAAGATAGGGATGACGTGTTCTCAGAACCCTATCCTCCTCCTCCTTTCTTGACAGGTACGGCAGCACTAGGCAGGAATGACAGGAACACCTGCATACTCTCCCTAACTCCACACAGAAACAGACAACAGGAGCAGAGGCAAGATGGGTCCCCAGGAACAAAGCCAAGTGAGGTAAGTCTACATAAAAAGTAGTGCTTGAGAAGGGAGTGTGAAAGCCTCAAAGGCAGAGAGAGAGTAATCTTACGTAGCAGAGATGCAGAGTGGCTTCTCCCCTTCCAAAACGACCTGATTTTACCTCACTGCCAGAAACAAAAGTGGTGCTCATATGTAGTGTTCACTGGGCAGCAGGCCATCCACCTGGATAAAGAGTCCACGCTATCCTAACATTGGGATATCTGGAGAGCTGGCATTCCTGAACAACTGTTTAGTATCTTTACGTGAAAAAGAACGTTAATGGGTTCTGTTGTCCATGTGAAGAAATCTCCCATTTATTACATTCAATGGAGCATTCTCAGTGACGGAGCTTTAACTTCTTATGTTTACCGAGGTAATCTCTAAGTATATAAAAATTTGTTAGTGGTACTTGTCCCACTCTCAGAACTTCTTCCTTGTGTACGTCTGGTATATTCTTAAGTGTTATTTTTCACTGAAGCTTTTCCATATTTCGGAATTACTGAGTTTCAGAGTCATGGCCATTCTTAGAGATCAGTCCAAAAGTTTTAAAAATATTTTATCATAGTTAAACATTTTTAAAAAGATTTGACCTTTCATTTTTTTTGTTCTAAATTTACATTAGGATGTTAAGTAACAGATTTGTTATATTTGAGACTTTATTCGATTTCTCTTCACTGTAGATGTTGCTTAATTTGAAACAATACTCACTTTTTCCCCTGCTTGAAGAAATTTAAAAGATTTCTCTACTAGTGTTTCTGATAATCCTCAGATATTCCTTGCCGGTCCTCCTGGTGATGCCCAATGCCATTCCATGTCCTTACAAATGTCCTACTCTAGATTAATTTCATTGTTTTCATTCCAGACATACAAACTCATGGGAAGTAACAAAAACTGCAACTTCTATCCATTTCAGGTGCTATGAAGAAAGAAAAGTATGTCAGCGAAATGAGGAAAATGGCATTTCACTTATTTTTTCCTCTCCTATACTGCAGAGCCTGATTGGCTTTCATTCATTCCTCAACTACAAAGAATTATCCCAAGCTTCTCATCTAGAAACCCAAAAGAGTCCAGGCTGCTAGTTTTCCTCTAACATTTGTTGCTAGAAATGCCAACTGGTTTGTGGAACACTAAGAAGATGGTGAAAGAATATGATCATGAATAGGGTGTGGAGCAAATACAGACTAAGATTAAGCAACTCTGAAAAAGGCAGTCATAACTAAGGGAATTACTCACTGATAACTAATATAAATGGAAAAAGAAAAAAGCAAGAATTGGTTAGTCAGTAGCAGCA